ATCAATGTGATTTAAGACAGATATGTTCTGAAGTACCTTGTTGAATATCGGTGTGGAGAATGATACACAGATTTTGAGATAGAGTTGTATATAATGGATCTGTTTGTGGTTTGGGTTTGCTGGTGGTTGGTTTTTTTTTTCTTTCTCTCTTGCCTGAAGCAGAAAAGATACTCTGAGATAACAAAAAGCTAAAATCTCATTATTACAAGTAAAAGTTTAGGGATATATTAAACGTGTTCAAATCTGTCATGAGCTTGAAGAAATTTTGGTAACATTTGAAGTTTAGCTCAGTTAATTTTTTTTTGCAATGATTATTTCGTGGAAAAATGTTAGGATTTTAAATAGGCAAAAAACAGTTGCACAGTGGGCAAGGGCATATTGAATATCTGTCTAAATTCCAGGACAGTGCTAAGAGATCATGTAGTACTGAATACTCTTGAATTAAATGGGAACTTATTTACTCCCACTGACGAGTCAATAAGGGAAACATTGAAAACATGTTCAAATAAGCACTGGAGAAAAGCAAAGACCTGGGCCAGAGGCCCAAGTCACCTAAGATTTTATGTGACCCTCGGCTATTTAATAAGTAACAGCTCAAAGGAACATGTGGACTGATTTCAACAAGAGCTTTCCTGTGTGTGTTTGTCACAGATTTCTGGTTGCTCTGAGATATCCAGATCATTCCAGATGTGAAGTTTGGAGGGGTTTACATCTAGATTTTGTTTTCTTCTGTGAGAGTGGCTAAATTCACTGAACATCTATACACTCTGTATTTTTCTTAAATGAATCAGAAATCAGGCTTGCCAGGATTGGGGTTTGTGTTTGTTTATGCATATTATCAAGGCTTAGATAAAAGGACACTTACTCAGTCTACCATCAACACACTGCCATGGTTTAAGGGGGAGGGAAGAGAACCCCCGGGGTATATGAGGAATATGTGAAAATCTGAATCACAGAGATGCTCTTTTATTTACAACCATAATTTATTTTCTATTTAAAGACCAATTAAATAGGAAATGAAAGAAAACATAATACAGCTCTGGTTGAAGCAGAAAATTATAATTAAATCATTGAACATCTTCGTGACAGGATATTTTTTTAAAAGGAACTATTTCTTGATTGTTACATATTTTGATTTTTTAAAAAGTGTGAGGAGTGTGTGACCTCAGCAGCCACTGACTCTGAATAAGTGGTGGATACCAAATTGTCGTTTGTGTCTTTCTGAAAGTTATCCATGTGTCTTCCTTGTATCCAGCATTTTTGCTGATGCCTCTGTTCAAGGAATCCAAACTCACAAGTGTGGAGTTGCAGGATGTAAAAGTTGTTGATATTCATCATTGTATCAAAGAACTGTGGGCATGTACTGACCTTGAAAAAATATTTTGCTGTGTAACTTAGTGCTGTGTGGCACATGCAGGTTTTTGTTTCTGCATAAAATCTGTTACTATGAATGCTGGTTGCATCTGTGTGTGATTAATGACTTCTGTCTCCAGTGTATGTACAGTAACACAACCAAGCAATGCACTGCGAGAGTCCCTCAATTCCCTGAAGACGTTTCATCACAATGAGATGCATTTTCAGTTATTATGCAGCTTTTTGTGGTTTGTTTTGGTATGAACAGGCAAATATTTATTCCTTTTATACAGATTTCCTCCATAACCTTCATTGTTCTAACTCATCTTACATATGTAGTGACAGTAAAACTGAAGGTGAATGCTAAACCAGTAAGAGTAACACACACTGATAATATAATGTATAAAAGCATTCTAAGTTCTCTGGGAGGGAATTGTTATCTCTGGAAGCTAAAATGCACCAAATTCACTTTTTGTATCATTATTTTGAAATTTAGGATTTGTGTGTGTGTGTGTAGGGGAGGATAGTTTTGCAAAAGGCAACTATTATCAAGGTGCTGAAATTAATTGGCTGCTTTAATTGAGGTAGATTACTAGCTAATGCTTTCTTGAATACAGTAATTCTCCTATTAAATTATCTTTGAATAATTACCTGAAATTTCTCAGCTGCAGGGACTGATGGCTATTTAATTGCACAGTGATGTTGCTATATAATTACTTAACAAGGTGTCCTTTAATAGTTTAATTCCCCTTTCCCAAGGAAAAAAAACCCTATGACTTCTATTTTTTAAGTGCTCTGATTTTATTTATTAATTTACAGATAACTTTGTATCTGAAACAGTAAAAGAAAGCTATTTGTTGACTTGCTTTTAAAAGTAAGTCTTTTGATTCTTCAAGCACGGATTTGGACTCAGAAGAGTTTTGGCACAAAAAAAAAAGTGGTTAGGCTTTCCTTTAGCTTCATTTTATTTATTTTGTGGGTTTGTTGTTTGGTTTACAGTGTACTTTGAATGATACATTAGAAGCTCAGGTCTGCTTTTCAAAGACCTAGTAATTATGTATGTGTTGAGTTTTGTGGACAGGGAGCTGTCCAGATAATGGTACCTCCTGAGCTGAAGCCAGGCAGACTGACCAGGAATTTTAAACCTGTATTTATTCCTCCTGGTCACAGAGGGTGAGGAGATTGCCTGCTTGCTGCTGGTTCCTGAGCAGTGAGAACAGCTGTTTCATCAAAGATGTTGAAACAAAAGTTTAGACTGTTCAGGGATCAAAAGACACAAAGGCCCAAGATTGTGCCAGGGTATAAATTTCCTTAGTAATTCTAGGATATACTGGTTTTTGCTGGCAAGAAATACCCTACATTGAACAATACAAAACTTAGCAGCTACAACAGAACTTATTAAGTCAGAACTTGAGGCTGAAGCTGGAGAGGAATGGTAGGATCATCTTACCTCTTCAGTTACATAAACATTTTAATCTATATGGGTCTGCTGGTTACCCAAAATGTTACATTCTGACCCTTGAAGAGAATCACAGAGTGGTTGGGGTTGGAAGGGATGTGGTCCATCTAAAACGTGAGGGCTTTTAAATTTCCTTTTAAAACCAGAATTCTATGCTCATAGGGGTTACTGATCAGTCTGAGTTTCACGCTGTTTCCACTGATCCACAGAAGGTGCCGTCTATGAGCACCTCCTCCTGGGAGCCTAGCTCTGTTCTCCAGAGGCTTGGGGCTTTGATTTTTAACATGCCAAGTTCTATCCTAAATAGCCTTCAACATGTATGGCAGCCTTTTACAATGAGACTGGTGCAGGGCATGTGCAAAATAAAAATGTATGTCACTAACACACCTTTTTGAACCTCTTTGAGGAAGAGTTCCAAACCCCCATTTCTGTATGCTGCTTTAAAACCAGAAGGGAATGATCAATCCAGTGTTATAGAAACAGTCTCTGTCCAGAGGGATTTTTTTTTTAGACAAATCTCTAAAGGATAAAGCCAGGAGAAGAATGGCTGCACTGGATCAGAGCAAAGACACACGTAGCTCAAGCTGTCAGGAATGAAGGCATCAGTACCACATGTTATTTCATGAACATACAATCCTTGATTCATACCATCTAGTGTTATCTCCACTTCTATCAGAGTGGAATAACAAAGGGGCTTTTTAATATCCATTGATCTTGCAAGCCTGATAAGGGATATTCATTGCCTGATATTCAAAGATGTTCAACATCACAAGATGGCCAACAAATCAGGCACTAAAGATTAGATTTTTAATTAGAGTAAACTGTACAGCTGTTGACTGGATGGGATTTTTGTCAATTTGCATAAATAAGACTGAAAATTGCTTGACACTCATAATATTTTCCTTAATGCTTCAGTCAGGGAGTGGCAAACCCAAGAATAAAAAAGAAATCCTTTATTCCTCATGTTTTCTCTGAGCACAAATCCACCTCTTGTCCTCTTCTAATTTCTTAGTAGCTTATTATCAGCAAGACAGTTTTTTCTCCTTGGGTAAGAGGATGCTTGGGCCTTTATCTCATTTGATCTTTAAAAAAAAACTGTAATCTTTGGAGAGTGCTCCTAGAAACTTCTACCAGAGAAAAGTGGCCCAGGATGTATCTGGAAATGAAAATCTCCATGGAGGATTTGAATATGGTCACTCCTCTCTTACAAACATCACTGTTCCTCTTTCACCCAGAGCACTCAGGATGTACTGCTGGAGTTTTCATTAAATGTTTGTAATGACATGGGTACATAAATATTATATGTTCATACTTTACTGTACCCAGAGGTCTGAAATTGTGACTGGAGCTCAGCTGTGCTAGGTCCTGTACGGTGTTTCTTATTAAAATCCCAGAGGCAAAATACTCCCACCCTGAAACTCCTTCAGCCTGCTGGGGGTAGAATTTGAGGTGTGATGTACAACAGAAAGACTGGGGGACGTAGGAGGCACCTCTCCAGAAGGTTTCCAAGTCTCTCAGAAGTTTGTAAGGCTCTTCTCAGTTTTTCTTACTTTCTTATTCTTTTCTTTGCCTGTATTCATTCTTCTTTGCTTTGACCTCTGCTTGTTCTTCATCTCTTTCTCCCCCCATGCAAACCCTCCCTTTTCATTCCTGACTCTTTACTTCACTCCTCCCCTCACTCATTCTCTTCAGCATTGCAGCAATGGTAGTCAAAAGAAGAAAGGCACAGAATTATCTGTTACTAAATGGGTGGTGCTGATGGAAAATTAGGGAGGAGGAAAAGAGGAATTAATTATCCATAATGTAAGGGTTAAGAAATAAGATTTTCCCAACTAACACTAATATCTGAAGAAATCCTAAATTTGTGAGAAATGTGAACATTCCTTCATCAGAAGGCTCTGTAACTATACTGTTAGAAAAGGAAAGAGAGGGTCAAACCTTGTCTTTATCCCTACTTTCTGTAAGTAACCTGCAAATAGATTTTTTTTTCCTCGTTTGCAGAGCATCTGCTGCTCCAATTTCTCTGCTTCTTAGGAAGGATGAGGTGTAATTGTAATCTGTTGCTTTGAGATCTTTCTATGAAAGACATGAAACAAGCACAAGATATTATTGCTAGAAGGCAGTATATGTAACCAGTCACTGGCTAGAAGATCACCCATTAATTTTTGTTTTGTTTATTTTTAAAAAGGTATGTAGCTGGTATGGAGAATATGCCAAGTCAGCTGGATGAGTCAGCACAGGCAACACAAAGTGAGTGAGTTTGGTTTTTTTAATAGGAAAATATTCGCACTCCAAGTCAATTTATTGCAATAATATTACAATTCCAAAAGCAGGAAAGTGCTGTTGACATTTTCTTAGTGTTTTTTATTGCAAATGTGGTTCCATATCCACCTAGTGAAGGAGCAGACAGCTAAGATACTCTGTGTCTGTGTTTGTTTACTCCTAGAAAAAAAAAAAAAAAAGGAAAAAACACAGCCTCCACTTCTGTCCTTGACAAAAGCTAATAACATGTATTTATACTAGGCAATGTCTGTCCACAGATTTTTCTTATGAAAACTTCAGCGTAATGATAACAAAAATTATTTTCCCTTGTAAATATGTTTTGCAAATACTTCTGCATTGGTGTGAGGTCTCACTGACCGCTCAGCAGAACAAATGAGGTTTTTGAAAATCAGTTCTTCTCTGCTCTGGAGTGGAAACACATCAAACATCACCTTAGAACATATGAGCAAACACTATTTTTGTGGGCATTTTGGCTTTATATTTGCAAATTGGGCAGAATGCTGATAATGTCCAAATAACCTACTATAAAACACAAAAGGTAAATCTGATTGCAGAGTCATTTTACTTGAAGGGACATGCAAGATGATAAGCAGATGATTAGACCTTCTTTAACCCTATGCAATGCTTGGGGCTGGAGAGTGACTTGAAATTTGAGAGGGAAATTAATAGGACATAAAATTGTTGGCAGTGGCATAATATTTACCCCCTTTATACTATTTCATATACAAAAGTAACTAGAGAAAAGAATTGTGGTCTTCTTCCTGATGTGAGATTTGATCAAGTACTGAATTAAACAGCAATGTTTGGGTTGTGCTTGGTGGTCTTTTTGTTGGGAATGTGGATAATGAGTCATCATGAGGCTGCTCTGAATTGTGGGGTACTGGGATGGGGAAGGAACTGAACTGCTGTCAGACTTCGCCAGCAATGGGAGTTGCAAACAGGGATCGTACAGCTCTGTCCAGAAATGCCTGTGACAAACACAGTTTGGTAAATCGGTGAATCCAGGCCTCAGTTTCCTTAACTGTTCTGTTAGCAGTTAAATGAAGTGCTGATATTTGCTCTTTCTGAGCAACTCTTGCTCTACACAGGTAGAGCTTATGCCTGCCTCCATAAGCTCTATTGGTTTTAATTTCTTTTTAATGCCAGATGAAATATTTGGGGGGTGTGGCTTTCCAATAGGTAGGTGTGTGATTTTTGATTTAGAATAGCATCCTCAATTAATGATTGAAGGAAAAATAGTACTTGTGTACTTTTGGTGTGTTTTTGTGTTTTTCACAATTTCCTTTTGGTTTTTCATACCTCAATCAGTGAGCAGAGCAAATAAGTTACTTTTCACTTAGTGGTTGTAACAAAAGTTGTAATGTCATCTTGGATACTTAATGCTTTTTCAGAATGAAATGTAACCATACTGTTTGGAAAGTTTTTTAAAAAATAAAATTTTCTTAAGATGGAAATACCAAATATGTTGAAAAATGCAAATTTTAAACATTTAGTAGCTTTAAATTTTTTTTAGTAGATGACTTTTTCTCTTGGATGAAGTATGAAGGTGACAGTGAGAGTTCTCAGGTGGCAGGGGAGGAACACTCAGCATTCAGGAGTGCCTTCAAGGCAACAGAAGGAAGAATTTACTGGGGACAGTCACTTGTAAATCAAAGTCCCTGAGTCTGCAGGAACTGAGCATGGAGACAAGGACCTGCCAGTAAAGACACAAGTGGGTGCACAGTTAGGGCTGTGTGTGTCATCTTTGTTTTGGTTCTGTCCAGCATTACTGATTCTGAAAGAAATATTATAATAAAAAGAAATAAAAACACTGATACCAGATTAGTCAAGAATTGCCCAGATAAAGCTGCTGTAGAAACACAGACATAGCTTTGTATCAATGGCAAGGGTGTTAAGTTTGTACATGTGAAGTGTGCCTTTCCATACTTCATATATTTCATTTTCTGTAACCTCATCACTTAATTTCATTATTATTCAGTTATTTTTTTTTGAGAAGTTATGTCTAATATCTCTCTTAGCTGCCTGATGCATATTTTAATCACATAACAGAAATAAGGTTCTCAGATCTCAGTTTTGCAGGAAATATCTGCCCCTTTGCCTGTCTCAGTCCGTGGGAGTTCACACATCAGTCATGGGACGGGTCCCATCAGGGTGTTTGAGTCTCTCACAGGGGTGTCTGTCTCCTGTCATGTGCTGGGCAATGCCACATGCTGGGTTTGTGCCATGTTCAGCTGTGGTCTGCAGGTACAACCAGGGAGCCAAACTCTCCAGTAGCTTCTTGGAGTAACAGTCCCAGCTGAGTGGCTGATCTCCCTCTGCTGCTGAGCAGCACCAGAGCTTTGCACCTGCTGAGGGATCCCAATACCAGGCTGAAGGTTAATAGGATCCATTCTAGCAGCTGGGATGCTGAGGCTGGAGATGATCCTTGCTTCAGTCCCTCACCACAGGTAGACCCATCTGTAATACAGAGTGCTGAGTGGGGACAAATCAATGACTTGAGCCCTCAAGACCGAGTAGGTGTGGTAGGGTTTCTGTCAAAAGAATGTGTTCACTGCTGTTCCTTGTCTAAAGTGACATGGAAGTATGGACAGTTGTTGAGACCTGAAGTCACTGTGTGAAGGACAAGGTTTTCAGTTCAAGTTGGCAAAATAAATTGTTTTGTCATAAAAAGTAAAAATTATCATTATTTATAAAACTTAAAATGCCCTGAAGCAAAGTAGCTGTATCCTCTTCAGCCTTATTTCTTGTCATGCTGTAGAAAAAACTGGGTCTTGATCAATTGATTTATGTATCTGGTTCATGTTTCTATCTCGTTTCTGGTAATAAAGAAAATCAAGATCAAGATAGTAGCTGTCCTTCAATATGCCAAGTATAACAGTACAAAAACTGTATTTTTGAAATAGAAGTATTATTCCAGCAATTTTAGATGCTTTTTTTACAAGAATCTTCGGACACTTTATAAGGATGTAGTTTTGGGTATGCTTTGGAGTAGATAGAACTGAGGCAGGCTCTCCTTTTGTGTTGAAAAATTGTGACATTTTTCCTCCTGCTCTTGGTGGAGGGCTAGTACTTGTTTATCTGGTACTTCTTGAGGTGATGGTAAGACAAATTTTGGTCATCATGGAGGTTCAAAATTAAACATTTTCCAATACTACCCCTGCAGACAGAGTATTTGGGTGTTATAGCAATTACATCTGATGTCAAATTTGAAGCTCCGCACGTATACTTCATTGCTAAAAGCGAACTTAGTAAGATTGCTCTGCCTTTAAATCAATTCTTTATTACTAAAATAAATCTTAGAATAAAATTAGAGTTGCAAATTAAGCTATTTGGATCAAACACATTGGGTTGAACTCAGGTTCTTTGGATAACACAAGTTGAACTAGGTCTTCTTTTGTGGACCTCAGCAAAAAAGTAAGATATTATTTCCAAAATTTCATATCAAGGTGTCCATGACACTTCCTTTTCACAGCCTCTTGTGATTTTGTGTTTTACACTCTCTTCTTTTCTCAAGTTTTGCAGCTTTCCTCTGTTTCAAATTCTGGATATTGGACATTCACTTCCCAGTACTAAGGGAATATTTACCTTGTTTCTGACTTTCTGGTGAAGTTTCAAATTCTTGTTATCTATATGATAAGAGATAATATATTTATGCCCCAAATGGTCATAAAATATTCTGTCTCTGATTTAGATTTATTTAATCTATTCAAATGATAAAGACTGAAACCCTGTCTGTGCATGTAAAGTTGGCATTTGTATGCAGTTATGATATCTCAAATAGCAACCATACAATCACTACAAAAAAGTACAGTATCATTCTAGCTGGCCTTAAGCCATTACCCTCAAATTACATATTTTATTAGAATTATACTACCACCTAGGGAAACTTAGAAGTCCGCCTTAGATCCTGCTTCTAAACCCTGGCTTTATTAATAATAACAGAACATTTTTTTTCTTTTCTTTGTAGGTAGGAGGCAGAGTTGGGACATCCTTAACAATATATCTGGCACTGAATCTAACTAATAATACAATTTAAGAGAAAACAATGCCCTCTTAAATTTTTAAACTTTTGTAGACCTTTCAACGAAAAAATTGAGTTATCCTTATTGTAGTACATTTCTTTTGAAACCTTGAAGATCCCTATATTTGGCCTGAAAATATTTTGGTTACCATCATTCAAACAATGATGCTCAACAAAGAGCAGGCAGGTGACGTTTGTGCCCTTGCCCTTGGTTTGGGTTGCAGCCAGGAGGGGGCACAACGAGTGGCTGTTCCCTTTCACCCTTCGGGAAGTTCATGGCACAATTAGAGAAAATTTATGCAGGGTTTCATACAACACCTTTTTATTCCACTTCTAATGTATGAAAGAAATAATGGCAAGGAGAAAGAGCCACAGTGTTATATAATAGGAGAAATGCATTTTCATTTTCTTTTCCCTCACACCTTTTTTTTGCATTTTATGCATCTTTAGTCTTCAAATAGCACTTAGGACATAAATTTGAGAATATTTTTCTTTAGTTATAATAAAATTCAGTTTTTCTAGATTTTTATAAAAACTTGTTTCATCAGTATTGTGTATCTGGACTAATGTAAAAGGTTGTCACGAGTATGGTTTACAGGCATGTCATTCACACATGAGAATTGTAATCAAATCTGTAGGTCCTGAGGGTCTATAAACTCAAAGCAATAGTTAGATATGACATTTTTTACTTTGGGTAAGACTTTTAGCATGTTGGGTAATTAAGTATTTGTGTGCACCAAGTATGTGCTCAACTGCTTGTGTAATTTCCATGAATAGCTGGTTGCACACATAAGTACATAATTAATTAGCTGCTTGTGCTATTAACTGCAGTGGAAGCACAGTTATGTCAGTTTGATTGTTTAGGAGTGTGTGTGAGAAATTTTTGGTGCTTGTCAGATACAAGAGTAGAGAAAGAATAAACAATAGATATGTATAAGTATGATCC